ACCATCATTGAAAGATTAGACCAATTAGATTAGATGACATATCAGAGACACGAATCAGTTCGGATGGCAGCTATAGATCTTTTCTTTCTGGACTGAACTCCTTGTTAGAATACCATCTTGTGTTCCATGTTTTCTTTCTGGAGATTAAACAACTGCACCAAGATTCGGTTAGTGTGTATGAACATTGTCACCATGAATGGCCTTATTCCACTATGGCCGTGATGGCAACACAGACACAGAATCTTCGTTTGTGATTAGGGTTTATCCAAAAACAATGAACTCACTATATTACTCCATTTAAAAAAAAAAAGTAATTACATTTTGGATCAAGAATAAAAGAATGAATAGAAGAACAATCTTCTACACTCAAGTTCAAGTGTTACAAACCTAGCTTTCTAGGGATCATGGACAGCTATTTTCAATTTAAGATGACTGCAGTGATAAAGTATGAAATTAAAAGAGTGTCACTTTCTCCAGTATGCGTGCCTGATGCTCCTTGACATAATCCTCTTATAATTTAAAACTATTTCCATCTCAACACCAACTCACTGCATGGATAGGAAAAAACAGCAGATTGGCTCAGCATGAAGTCTGTACAACCCTCTTGTTGCTTACTGGCACATCTCCCTTTGCATCAACAGGAACTGAATGCTTTTCAGTTATTCATTTATCTAAAATCTGGAATTTGTGAAGAACAAATAAGAACTCATGAAGTCTGAGCTGACCGTTGCATGCAGATAGAAAGCAGATGATTTGAGGGAAGGCTAAAAAAGCTTTAATCACACCAGTGATCACTAGCAGTGATATGTGTGCATGAATGTGGGAAAGGAGTCGAGCACTTCCCCTGATAGTGTCAGGATAACAAGAGTAAGAGCCAAAAATACTCTTTTACTTCTACCACATGAAAACTGGCAGCGACGTGCGCCCAATAAATTAGCAGCGCTTGGACTTGTAAAAATAGCTGTGCTGATTGCTTCAAATCTGCTGTGCTTCGGCTGGCTCCATCTCTCACTCACCAGGGAATTCCTCTCGGTGCTTGTCTTTGATCCTCTGCGCCGCATCGTAGTAAGGCTTCTTCTGCTCCTCGGACAGCCGGTTCCACTCCACTCCCAGCTGCACGCTGATGTCCGCGTTGTTAGCGGTGGGGTTGGCTTTGGCCAGAGCAGGTCTGTGAATCCTGGCCCACACCATGAAGGCATTCATGGGGCGCTTGATGTGTCCGTTTCGCTCCTTACAGCAAGGAATCTGAAAATCCCCTATTAAGAGAATCGATCACGGGCAGGCTCAAAGTCTGGAAGTCACTTTCTCCATAGGAAAGGTGGAACTCGTTACAATTATACAGCACTTTTCTGAACGCTCCATTCAAAGCGCTTTACAGGTAATGGGGACTCCCCTCCACCACCACCAGTGTGAAGCCCCAAACTGGATGATACGACGGCAGCTATAGTGCTCCAGAACGCTCACCACACACCAGCTATCAGTGGGGAGGAGAGCAGATTGATGAAGCCAGTTCATTGATGGGGATTATTAGGAGGCCATGACTGGTAAAGGCCAGGGGGAAATTTGGCCAGGACACTGGGGTTACACCCTTACTCTTTTTGAGATACGATGTGGAATTTTTAAGGACCACAGAGAACCAGGACCTCAGTTTTATATCTTATCCAAAGGAAAACGTCTTTTTTTCTTTTACGGTATAGTGTCCCCATCACTATACTGGGGCATTAGGACCCACACAGACCACAGGATGAGTGGCCCCTACTGGCCCCCCACTAAGACCTCTTCCAGCAGCAGCCTTATGTTCCAACAGACACTTTTTATGATGCTTCCTTGAAACTTACTGAAATCTTGGCATACAAGAAATACGTAACTAAAACTATATCTGCACAATCTGCAACTTTATCTGCACAATATAAGGAGCATGTTCTGCTGGGTGAAAGCATGGAAAGTTATACAGCTAGTCATAAACATGATCTACTTCTGTGTAGACGTCTAGTAAAATACATTGTAGAATAAACTGAACTGACCCACAGAAAAGAAATGGGGGTTTGAATAATTGAAAAACACATTGCGCAGAATCTGAAAAAAAAAACCGTTCTCTCTGTATCGTAGGCTCTTATTGATCGCGAATGTTATGTTTAATGCTTTTGCACATAAGTATAGAAAAAAAATCAGAGCATTTCAAAAATCCCTACATTAGCGGAGACAGTGTCAAAGCCAGCTGTCCCCTCTGCAGCCCTGCGTGACCTCGGGCGCGGAGTTACCTGACTCCGACGGCGGGAGGGTGAGCGGCACGTTTCTGGTCTCCACCTTCACGGAGGTGTGCGCCAGCGGCTGCAGCGCGATGGGCAGAGCGGGGAAGGGCACTCTGCTCAGCCGGATGGGCTCGGCGGTCAGGAAGGCCGTCGGGAAGCTGTGGTGCAGGACCGCCGGGGCCGCGCCTCCTCCCCGCCCCGCCGCCGCCGCGCCGCTGGGCGGGACCCGTTCCGTGTCCTCGGGCGGGAGCGGTCGAGGCGTCGCGAAAGCCCCGTCGCTCTTCTCTCCTTTCAGGCCGCTGGGAGTCGGCCCAGCGTGGGGGTGACCCACGCCTTCCGCCACTCGGCCCTCCTCGGTTTTCACTCCTCCATCGTCCCCGTTTGCACTTCTCCTCCTTTTCTCTTTCACCGCCACTCCCACCACGGTTTTCCCACTCGAGGACCTCTCCGCTTTAAAAATGACCGGTATATCTTCCCGCCTGGGGACCGTTTGGACACGTAATTCACAGGGCCCGCCTGCCTCGGTCTTAACTTGCTCCTCTTTCCGGCCGGACTCGTCACTTTGGGGTTTTCCGGGGCAGCCGGAGCGGCTCTGGCGCGCCTGGCTTTTGTTTTCCTTTCTGAAGCGATTTTCACTCCTTGTGGCGGGTGACGCTGCTGGTTTTGCCCCGGGTCCTGGGCGTGTGTCCATTGCGGGCCTCCGGCTGGGTTTAATTGTGATCTCAACGTCGCTCCTTAGTCCCTTTCCGTTGACAGACAGCGGCTGGAACGGCCGGAATTCAAAACGGACACCTTGCCGGCGCGAGAGAGAGGGGGGGGTCTTTTATTGGCTTGCAGGCGCGACGCGCAGCGGCTGTCACAATAGGGACCGCGGCGACCCGCGAGACGTCAAAAGGTTGCCATGGTTCACCTTCACGAACTGAATCCGTCGTCGCTAAAACAGCGTTTCTCTCACGAACCGTATGTGACAGAAGTGTTATAACCCCGTTAACTAGCACACACCCTCTCACCCCGCTCGAAATCAGAGCAATCAAAATGACACCCTAACACGAACACCAGTCATTCATCTGGACTTCACATCCGCGACGGATTCTTTCCCGGGATTCAGAGCGACCCCTTTGACCTTGAAACACGTGGGAGCTGAAATGCGTTCAGATACCCCACGCATCTTGCACACGTGTGAATACGCAAGGAGGATGTTTTTTTTTTTAATGAATGCTGTGCCTAGAGAGATTTTTGAAGCTAATAAATTGTATTGAGTGACTCGTGTAAGTTAAGAGTGATGGTAGTGTGAAGACTTACGATATCAGTGTCTTCTAGTTAAATGAAAATAAAAGTTAATAACTTTCCGTTTTTATCTGGTCTGAATCGTTTGGGACTCGAGACTGCTCACAGGATCCGTGAATAAAATCGCATAGTTGTGCAGGAAGACGTTAAAAAGTGTTTTTGTTTGAGTGTTTTATAAATGCACTTTTTAGGTTAACTGATAATTATGTGTGAACCACTGTCGTGCAACACAGTGGTGGAGTGGGTAGTGTTGTTGCCTCACTCCTCCTGGGTTCTGGGTTTGATTCCAGACTGGAGTACCTTCTGTGTGGAGCCTGCACGTTCCCCCTGGTGCTAGAAAGTCATCCCACCTTCCACAGCCGTGTGTTTGGGTCAGCTGGGGGTCTCTAAATTGCCACCTTGATGGACTGGTGTCCCATTCAGAAGGCAGTCCCACCTCTGGACCACAGGCCTCTCCAACAATAAGTGGTTTTCCTTTGTTTGTTTTTTTCTTGAACCGAGAAGAGTACGTGGAGAATCCACAGTCCTCAGACACACTGACAGTCAACCCAGAGGACATCTTCAGAATCACCAGTAAAATAGGGACCAGGGGACACCAGGGGAAACCACAAGGAAGAGCATTTAACTCTGAGAACAGGAGGCACCTCTTTCCACAGAGGGTGGTGGGAGCGTGGAACATGCTGCCCAGCCATGTTGTTGAAGTTGAAAACCTGGTTTCTTCTAAGAACCAGTTGGAGGGGAATCTTGGATTGATTAGCTCCTAACCACCAGACTTGATGGACCAAATGGCCTTCTGTCATTTGCAACCCTCCTTCTACTCTTTAATTGAGCTGTTTAGTTTTTAAAAACATCTACCAGTTGCTTTTAATTACACCCACTGCATTCCCCAGTCTCCACTTGTGCGATTTTCACAGCTCGAGACGCAGGGGTGGACACCGAGGGTGCACATAGGGGACGACGGAGCGCAGGCAGCCCCCTTCAATCTTCCCCCATACTGGCGCTGCGTTTGCAGGAAGCTGAGAGAGCCCTACCCCACCCTACCCTCGCCAGTGTTCGGTCAGCTGCTGACAGGACTCGGGCTCGAACCCGGGACACCAGGGTCGTCGAGCACCAATACTGGCTGTTGACGTGGGAGGCGTTTCCAATAACAGATGCATGATAAACCATGCATCCATTTGCTCTGTGCTCTAATTCAGAGTGGTGGGGGAGCTGGAGCCTACCCTGGCAAGCAATGGGTGCAAGGTGGGGTGCACACTGGGTGGGATGCAGACACAGACACAAACATACACACAAACACTCACACCAGGGCCCTTATTCCCAGAAACCAGTTAAGCTACCTGTATGTGTCTGGACTGTGGGAGGAAACCCATACAAACACAGGGAGACCACATAAACTCCACGCAGCGACAAAGATAGTGTCCCCCGGTCCAGAATTGTACCCAGCGCTGCGAGACAGCAATGCTAACCACTGCGTCACCACGCCGCCCCATATAACTAAACCACTGGCAAAACATACAGGATGTAGGAAAAAAAGAAGCTGGTGGTTTCTAAAGCTAAACATGGCTGTTTTAGTAGCTTACATATCTCACAACCTCATTTAAAAGATCTTATAATGAGAAGTTGAAAGGAAGAAATTCTACATAAAACCAATATAAAAAACCATGCAAGAGCCCTATACAAATCCAGTCACTGCTTTATTAAAAACTGCATGAAGTACAGACATAGGTGTAGCTTAATTCAACATTACAGACAGCAGAGATGCGACTACAGAGTGACCCAGCTTTGGATCAGCGCTCATGTTCATCAAGGAATGCCTTCTTGAGATTTAGGTCTGCCCATCACTATTACTGTTTTTCCACGTAATGTAATTGCTGCGGAGTTAAAGCGCTTACTTGTTCACCATTTCATTCCATGTGAAATGGAAAAAATCACACCCATCTTTTCACCGGTGGTTATAAAACCCACCAATTTCAGTTACAACTACCTCTGGGCAGAAAACAGGGTAGATAAGCACTTCACAGCTGACACAGCAGGGCTGAAGGAAAGCCAGGCCAGAGTATTAGGTAAACCACTCGTCTCCTCCTTTCCTTCTGGCACCAGAGATAAACAGCTCCACCTGTTTGTGACCCCTCCTCTGCTCAGGCCTTCCATTATACAGCCAGAGCTGGTGTTTAGCCCGTGGGGAATGTGCGCCGTCAGGTGTGTGCTTGGCTAGCTCTCCCCCTCCAGAATCTCGGGGTGCTCCTGCCAGAACTGGTCCCCGATGATGTCACAATGCAGGGCGACGACTCTGCTCCGGCTGCGCGTCACCACCACCTCCTTCTCCTGCTCTTCGCTCGCACGTTTCACTGGTTTCATCATGGTTTCGTCGAACTTCGAATGCATTTAAAAATGGGGTTAAAAAGTTACGCTTTTTGGGGGGGTTCAAAATGCAGAAAAGCCAAGCAGCCTAAAATCTAACTACACGCATGCAGACACTGCTATATCCCGATGCAGGTCAGCTATTCTGGTGTACAGGAATGAAAACGGTATCACACAGTATCACACAAGATGCATTCCTGACTAACAGACACAAATACTGGATAAGACAAAAGATGAAGGATCATCTTGGAGAAACAGGAATTATGTAAACGGCATATTTTCATGAAAGACTTTGCTGTCTTTGCATTTCACCTTTTTCCAGACCAGAGCTGTGCCTTTCCTGTGGAGTAGAGGCTCGTTGTTGTAGTTAATGTTGAACTCTGCAAACAAGATCTCGTTCTTATCGGCTGCTAGAGTGCCCTAAAAAACATGAATGGAAAGCATCAGCACCTCTCCAGCAAACGCCATCTTGCACTGGCTGCTGTAGCCAAGACCATCAGGCACCAGGTGGTGTGATAAAAGAATCCATCCACCTTCTAAACTGCTTTATCCAGTACAGATATATTGGGGGAGCCAGAGCCTATCCCAGCAAGCAACGGGCACAAGGTGGGATACACCCTGGACAGGATGCCAGTCCATCACAGTGCACACACACACAGACACACAATTTTCCCAGAAGCCAATTAAGCTCCCAGCATGACTTTAGACTGTGGGAGGACAGCAGAGCATCCGGAGGACACCCATGTTAACATGGGGAGAACATGCAAACTCCACACAGACAGAGCCCAGGAACTGAACCCAGAGGCCCCGGCACTGCAAAGCAGCAATGCTAACCAGTGCGGTATCGTACACCCCACACACAAACATAAATAAACCACTGCACTACCAGAATTGGAACATCTTAAAACTCAACAAGCCAACTCAAATGGCCCAGCCCAGCCCAGAAAAATCAAATCTGAAAATATCATGGACCACCCCAAAAAAGTCCCATCCCAGCTGAATGATCACGTTACAGGTTTTTTTCAATGGCCGGCAAACTGAACGCCAGGCACTAGAATCCTGTTTTTTAAACCTGATGAACAGCATCGAGCCTTTGTGTTACAGAAGTAAAAACATGCAGGGAAGTTAAAATACTGTGACGTTGTTTCACATGATTTCAGTTTTAAGTCCTAAGCATTTCCCAGGCCTTTTCTGTTTTTCAAAAGACACACACATAAATTAGCACGATACCATATGTCACTAAAATTGTACAAGCAGGCCAATCCCTCTTCATGGGTATTCCTGTCCTATAAGGGCCCTTATCAGCTCTGGGTTTTATGAAGAATTTTATACAAAAGCTGAACTGCATTCTGCATGAATGTCCTAGATATCGACTCAGGCCCAGAAGATGAAAGTGCTGATCAGAGCGTATTTACCGCAGTGGAGAGTCATCACCTGATGTTTACGGTTCAGGCCTGTTATTTTCCAGTATCTGAGTTGTAATTAAGTCCCACAAGCGAAGCTGAGTGATAAAGCCCCGTAATAAAGCTAAGGATTCAATTACACACAGGATGTGTCCAATCAGAAACCTGCTTATAAAGAATTTACCTTTGACGTGGTATGAAGACCTTAAAACAGCTTCTGTGTTTTCTTTGTGATTTTTATATTTTATTAAAAGCTTTGATGACTCCTAAAATAATTAGAGAGGTGTCCTGTTTTAACTCAAGAAGGACCGCCATAAGCATCTTTAGATAAACATGTAAGAATTAGAATAAAAATTCAAATTCTGCTAATTCTTTACCATGGATTATAAAGTACTTCTTGTTAGGTGACTGCAGTCATAAATTTGTCTCAGATGATTAATCACTAAAAGTGGCTTTCTAAAGCTAGAAAAAAAAATACATTTTTAATTTAAATTTACATTTAAATTAGAAGTGAATTACATTTTTTTATTTTATTTTATTGGTCACACCAGCTGTTTCAGAAATCTAGCCCTCTCTTTGAAAGCACAGCAATCCTCCAGTTAGCCCACACACACACACCCCAAAAAACCTTCTCACCCTCAGTCTCTCCTCTGCTTGGGATGTGGTCAGCCCACCCTTCTGCACCAAAGTCCAAAACACCGTGTTGTACAAGTTATTAATATGACCTGGAAAACAGGAGCACCACGCGAGTCAAAACAGTGGTCGGAGATTCAGGATGTGAGAAACAGAAACAATCCAGCAAGAGAGCAAAGAGATTCCAGTCGCTGAACATTTGTAGAGCTGTCTTCTTTCCACTTTACCCAGTACAGCGTCGCGGAGGAACTGGAGCAACAGGCACAAGGGAAGGGAACACTCTGGATGGGACACCAGTCCATCACAGGACACGGACACACTCACACTCAAACCAGAGCCAGTTTTCCCAGAACCAGCCTATCTACTGACTGTGGGAGGAAACCCACACAAACTTGGGGAGAACATACAAACGCTACACAGACAGCAATCCCAGGGATTGAACCCAGGGCACCAGCACTGTGAGACAGCAGGGCCGACCCATATGCAGAGCAAAATTTTCAAATGGAAAACAAAACATTCACATGTTCTATTTAGTCGAAAGAGTCTCTGGTGGTGGAGAATGAAGCGCTGGGAGCACTCACAGTCGGCCTGTCTCCAGCTGAGGTAGTCTCTGAGGTTCTGGTTGCTAGGATACAGCACCACCCTGCCATCAAAGCCAGGGGGATACTTCAGCTCCTGGTCCCCAAAATAGTCCTTCCAGTAGAAGACGTAGCTAGAGGAGAACTGCGATGCCACATGAGTCATCAGCTTGCTGTAGAGGCAAGAGAAGATAAGATGGGCACGCTTGTGGTCTCTGTTACCCACCAAAATGTAAAATACAGCTATTCACAGTGTGTTTGGCAAGAAGAGGCAAGCTCACAGACGCACTGGGCTTCACATTTGTCCTGTGCTGTGGGCAGTCAACGGTGACAAGTGAGGCTATCTTGGTCATAGCTGTGTGGGTTTTAGTGAGACAGGATGCAGGCTGCCACAACGTAATTTTAGATTCTTTCCACTGCAGTGGGTCAGAGGTCTCCGGAGGTGTGTAGAGCCTTTAAGAGGGTGTCTTCTCTCGTGTCCTTAAAACCTTTGCAGGTCAGGTCTCTCCCGTATATACAGACCTTTTTAACCTCTCTCTGTCCCTGTCAGTTGTGCCAGAGTGCGTCAAGAGAACAACAACCGTGCCACTGCCCAAGCAGACCGAGATAACTTGTTTGAATGATTACGGCCCAGTGGCACTCACTTCAGTGATATGAAGTGACTGGAAAGCCATGATTGGTAAGGGCCATGATTGGTAAAGGCCAATGGGAAATTTGCCCAGGACTCAGGATTACACCCCTACTCTTATCGAGAAACGCCCTGGGATTTTTAATGACCACAGAGAGTCAGGATCTCGGTTTTACATCTCATCCGAAGGATGGCATCTGTTTACAGTATAATGTCCCCGTCACTATACTGGGGCATTAGGACCCACACAGACCGCAAGGTGAGCGCCCCCTGCTGGCCCCACTAACACCTCTTCCAACAGCAACCTTAGTTTTTCCCAGGAGGTCACCCATCCAGGTACTGACCTCCTGGGAAAGCTCACACCTGCTGAGCTTCAGCGGGCTGCCAGTTGTGAGTTGCGAGGTGATATAAACTGCACTATCCCAGACTCCCTTGACCCACTTCAGTTGGCTTACCACCCAAATAGATCAGTGAATGATGCCATATCTCTAGCACTTCATACTGCCCTAGAACATTTGGACAGGTGGGGTACCTATGCTAGGATGCTATTTATAGATTCCAGCTCAGCCTTAAACACAAGGCTATAGAACAGGTTCTACCCTACTGCAGTATGCATCCTTAACAGATAACTGCAGTGCCTGAGAACTCAGTGCACCTCTGCACTACGCACTTTTTGCATGGACTACCATGTGTTTTTTTTCACTACCACATCTTTATTTTTCTTCACAATGTTTTTATCGCTCTTGTTATTATTTATCATGTTTGCAATGTGCTGTCTCCATTGTGTGGTGTCGTCTGCTGTACTGTGTGTGTGTGTAAGAGATCAGTGTGAATAAGAATTCCAGTGTACATGTCCCCGTGGCAGTAACCTCCCCTACGCCTCTGTCTCTGTCCCCGTGACGTCCCCGCGCCTGGTGGAGAACAAGAGGTTGGGGGCCGCACCTGGCTCTTCTCTTGAACCAGTGGGAGGACCTCTTGAAGACAAAGCTGTACTCGTCGCTCTGCCCGTAGGCGATGACGATGTCCTCCAGCTCCTCCATGACCGAGCGGGCGCTGCGCGTCATCAGGCCCAGCGCGCGCTCGTCGTTGGGCTTCGTGAACTGGTGCTGCTCAGCAAACCTGGGGGGGGAAGGGCGTTAATATCGGCAAACAAGAAAGGAGAAGAGACCCTCTGGGTCAGGCCCAGCTCGCTCTCTTTCAGCCCTGTCTTCCGTGACCACACAGGCGACGCACAGATCCGCCACACAATTTCCTGCTCTGCCCCATTCGGCTGGCGAGAGCTTCCAACTGCGCAGACAGCCTCTGGATTTGCCAGGAGGCCAAGGCCAGGAGGAAGTTCTGCACATGCAGCTTTGTGTAGCTCTCAGAAGGGTACACAAACACAGCGGTGCCACGGTTTCAGAGACGAGAAACAAGATTTTAAGTCCTATCGCCGAATTAAAGTTTAATGACACCTACACCCGTTGTGCTTAAGATTTTATTCAAAATCGGAATGTGTCAAGCACCTGCGCATTTCACTGCTTATTAAGAATTTTATTTGAAATAATAGCAAAGCGCCGGTACCATATCACCCTGCAGCTCTCAACTGGAAGCCCAATGGAGCTCAGCAGGTGTGAGCCTGGTCAGTACCTGGATGGGAGACCTCCTGGGAAGCTATGCTTGCTGCTGGAAGAGGTGTTAGTGGGACCAGTGGGGGGCGCCCACCCTGCGGTCTGTGTGGGTCAGTATAGTTGGGGGGGACACTATACTGTAGTGGGCGCTGTCTTTCGGATGAGATGTAAAACCGAGGTCCTGACTCTCAGTGGTCATTAAAGATCCCTGGGCATTTCTCAATTAGAGTAGGGAGTTATCCCGGTGTCCGGGCCAAATTTCCCCCCTCGGCCTTTACCGTGGCCACCAAATTGTCCCCATGTGTGATTGGCTTGCACTTGCCCCGCAATGGACTAGCGTCCAGTCCAGGGTGTACCCTGCCTTGCACTCATTGCTTGCCAGATAGGCTCCGGCTTCCTGCGACACCATGTGGTATTAAGTGGTTTGGTAAATGACATGACTTAATAGCAAAGTCCTTCACTCAGAAAAAAAAAAGCTAACAATTGGATGCATTAGGCATCCCCATCCAGTGAATGACAAAAGGCTGTCTGCGTTGTAATAATTCACGGCTGACCATTACCTGGGATCACCTGCAGTGCCCTAGAAGCTGACTGAAGCAAGAAACCACCTCCTGCGAGAGCAGCGCGGTTGTGGTCTGCAATGCTACTCACTTGTGGAAGTTTCGACCGTCTAAGCGCACAACGATGTAGCAGTTCCTCAGGCAGGTGTCGTCCGTCTCAAAGGAGCGGACGTACTCGAATTTGCTCTTGGCCATGGCGGGGGCGCGCAAGGCGAGGAAGCCGCGGACAGAGGAGGCCCGACCGCCTCTGTGGGCCGCGCGGTTGGCCAGGCACGATCCGAAGGCTCTGCGGAACGGAGTCAGGCGCGGTCCCGCTAACATCAGCTACCTGTGAGCAGGAAGAACACAAACACAGAGAACCCGCGGGCTTGGTTTGTAAGGCTGCGATATAGCGATATGAGACGTAAAACCGAGGTCCAATATGGCACACTCACTGATCTATTTGGGCGGTAGGCCAACTGAAGTGGGTCAAGGGAGTCTGGGATAGTGCAGTTTATATCACCTCGCAACTCACAACTGAAAGCCCGCTGAAGCTCAGCAGGTGTGAGCCTGGTCAGTACCTGGATGGGAGACCTCCTGGGAAAAACTAAGGTTGCTGTTGGAAGAGGTGTTAGTGGGGCTAGCAGGGGGCGCTCACCCTGCGGTCTGTGTGGGTCCTAATGCCCCAGTATAGTGACGGGGACATTATACTGTAAACGGATGCCGTCCTTCGGATGAGACGTAAAACCGAGATCCTGACTCTCTGTGGTCATTAAAAATCCCAGGGCGTTTCTTGAAAAGAGTAGGGGTGTAACCCCAGTGTTCTGGGCAAATTTCCCATTGGCCCTTACCAATCATGGCCTCCTAATAATCCCCATCTATGAATTGGCTTTATTACTCTGTTCTTTTTAATAGCTGGTGTGTGGGGAGCGTTTTGGCACACTATGGCTGCCATCACATCATCCAGGTGGGGCTGCACATTGGTGGTGGAGGGGAGTCCCCATTACCTGTAAACAGCTTTGAGTGGAGTGTCCAGAAAAGTGCTAAATAAGTGTAAGGACTTAATAATAATAATAATAATAATAATAATATTATAGTTCAGGTGGGTAGCTGCATCAGCATGCGTAGGCTGCAAAGGTTTATTAAAAATAAATCTATTATTTGTTCCATTATTATTTTAGTACACACCAGGTACAAACGACCTCATATTTTGTGCCCGTATTAACCTAATATTCCGCTGAACACCAATTAAAATAGCAGCTCTGTTATTGTATTCTACGTAGTATTAGGATATTTAAAGACCTGCCACAACACTTATCTAATACAAACGTCAAAGAGATTTAGATGAGAAATACAGGCCAGTATAATGGGCTGTACTGATTTGACTTTAAGGCTCAATATCTCTAAGAATGTAAAGCGCTTTGCGTGGAGTGTCCGGAACAGCGCAGTGGAAGTGTAAGGGATTATTAATGTGCTCGCTGCTTTTGCAAATTACGCATATTCGAATATATGCTTATCATCGGGACTACAAACACCGGAATTCATAATGAGGACCTTAACCGAAGGGCCTTCCAGCACATCAATGGGTACGGGACCGACACATTAACACAGCGTTTAGCTACATGATAGCAGTGTAATAGATGTTTGTTTTTTTTCCGCAAGATATATGTAACAGGGCATATTAACCACAAGTAGAGAGAAACAACCCTTTCCTCATAAAGAAGGAACACAAGACTGGTTGAAAATGCACGTAACTAAGTGCTAAGCGTATAACACATTTTAACAACCCTTACCCATTCCTCCTGACATATGCGACTTTACCCAAGCTGTCGGATAAACGCAAGCTACCTCAACAACCTCGTGTAGTGTACAATTAATGTGTACAGGGAAACCGTGAAGTCCATGTGTACAGGCCAGACCCATATACTGCATTTCGGAGGGGGAAAAAGCGTAGTACACTTTCACACCAGCGTGTAGTTAAGGAGAAAGAGCAATATAAAATAAAAATATGTAGTTATAATACATAGTTATCGTGGAAAACTGATATAACTTATACTTTTATTGTTTTGGTTTTTGCAAACGGTATGTATAATTACACGATCACCCCTACAACAAATTCCAGCTTTAAAGTGCGGTACTACATTTAGAGTATCCAACTGCATCATAAAGCTACATTTTGGTTCCTATCTGTGAACTCAGGCGAGTGAGAGAGAAACGCCTATTGCAATTTCCAAAAAAAAATTCGTAACAACTTGAAACGAACGCATTTGTGTCGGTGAATATTAAAAAAAATATAAACGAAAACATAAATCGCATAATGAACACAAAAACTGTCGTAGCAAAAAAAAAAACCAGCAACTTGTGGGCTGATACTCCCTCTAGCGGCAATCAGGAAGCAGTTCTACAAACTCCTTGGACTACATATCCCATGACGCAAAGCTGCGGGTCTTTCAAACATGGAGGAGAGTGAACGGAAAGTGACGGACAGATGCTCTGCAACTGAAAACCGCGGTGATATTATGAACCCCAGTTCGCTTCGGGACCCAGACGAGGAGCAGAGCGAAGAGCCCGAAGATGACCTGAAAGTTAAGCTGGATGTCAGCTCGGATAAGTTTGATCCGTTGTTGGCGCTTTACTGTCCCGAAATCTCGCTGCCGTACCCCAATGTGAAGTGCTTCAACAACATCGCTCAGTATGAAAGTTTTCTCAGAGGGGGCAGCGGCAGAGCGAAGCCGCAGAACGTGGCGAAAAAAAACAGGAAAGCCAAGAAAGGCGTACCGGACCCAGAGAGGATCGAGAGGCTAAAAAAGTTGATGGTGAATGCGCCGACGGAGGAGGGAGCTGGGGGCCGCCAGAGACCGCCAAGAAAAACTAGGGCTCCCAAAAATGTTCTGACCAGAATGGCCGGTAAGCAAAAACTGTAACGCCTGTACGGTCTGCACACACTTGACTCTACCTACACCCGTCACGTAAAAATCGTTGTAGGTTTAATGCAAATGATGAAACTTTGCCCAAATGATTGTACAAGCAGTAGTCAAAGCAGCAGCATTTTCAAATTCTCAGATGATACAGCTGTGTTTGGCTTAATGTATTATCAGGGATGGTATTACAGTGTGCCTTGCCTTGTGGTAATCTCACTGCTATGCCGTTTGCCTCGTCAGTTCACGCTGGGAGCCCCCTGGGAGAGCTGTACCGCTGTGTCCAAGAGAAGATCCGGGTCAAAGTTCACATCCGCACTTTCAAAGGGCTGAGAGGAGTCTGCAGTGGGTTCCTGGTGGCCTTTGACAAGTTCTGGAACATGGTACCTCCCTTCCCATTGTCAGAGTGCTATAGTTATACAGGAAATTTTGCCTGTGGCTTTAGGTTCCTGGCTCCGATTTCTTGTATAACAGTAGCAGGTTGCCTCTTCAAAGTAGTAAACTGGCCAGCAGCTGCTCTAGTGAAAAAGCTTAGACTGGAACATTCCAGTATACAGTATTCAAAGAAAAACACTGTGCCTTGTTCAGTCTTGTGCTGTAGTTTTCTTGTCCTTCTGCCCTCCTTGGTTAAAAGGCTCTTCTCAGCCTTGTTTTCCGCCTAATAGTTGTTCCCCTTGTTTTGCACTTTTAACAACATTTTTGGTGCATCAACCAAAAGCCAAAAGATTGAGGACAAAATTAAGAAATGCAGAGTCCACGCAGTGTGTGTTTCACCTCACAGTGAGGTCACAGTGCGTGCAGGACACCCAGCCTGCTTCTTTGTGAGCGTAACGTCTGGATTTTAGCCGCTGTTTGCTGGCGTTCTGCAGAGCCCGTTGGAATGTGTGCTTTGGCGAGCTGTGGAGTTGTCTGTCTTCTGAGCTGTCTTTTGGCCTGCCCCTCCCCTCTGCTGTTTCAGGCTCTGGTGGACGTTGACGAGACCTACAGGAAGCCCCTGCTGGGGGAGGCCTTTCACCACGAGCGTGCTCTGACTGTCACCAGGGTGGGTACGGCCAACCGTGGCGTCCAGGCAAACAAGCCTGCTCCCATCCATCCCTTCTCTAAACCTTTAATTCAATTCAGGGTTGCAGGGTAGCCGGAGCCTATCCCAGCATGCAACGGGTGCTAAGCAGGGTACACCCTGGATGGGACGCCAGTCCTTCACAGGGCACATACAGACACAAACATGTGGGCAGTTAACCTACCAGTACGTCTTTGTACTGTGGGAGGAAAACAGAACATCATAAAGAAACTTATGCAATCGTTATGAGAACATGCAAACTCCACACAGATAGCACCCCAGGTAGCAGGTAGCAGCAGTGTTAATCAGTGTGCCACCATGCTAGCCTTCAAAGCTGGTAGTTTTTTTTAGAATCACATATTATTTTTCTTCTACCCACCCGACTTAGAGTTGCCACTCGTGTGTGTGTTCACACAACCCACAGCTACGAACCCTGTAACCCTGCACACAGGGGAGAAAGAGGAAGTGCAGGCAGACTCCTCTGGCCCACTCACTTCTGAGCCAATCGTCTTTTAATACGTCACCTGCAGCACCACCCCCAGACTGCATGATCAGCTTTGATTGGAGGAGAGGCGCTTCCCTCTCCAACAGCACT